TGTGATCAAGCTAGCAAATGATAGCTTTTGCAGCAAATTTCACCAAACTTCAAGAAACACATCACGACACCAGTTTGGGTACGGACTAACTTCACGAGTACCAAATGAGGTTCATAGATCAATGCTCAGGGATAACGCCTATACTTACTCGCCAAGTGACCATTCTGCATCACCTAGAACACAGGCTCTGAAAGAATGAGGTACTGTTCAGAGACTTCGTTTTTCCGCTTACGCGAAAAAACGCACAGGCGAAAATCTCCGCCAAGATTTAGATACGCATCGACTGAGAAATTGTGAAACGCGTAAGCGAAACGTCCGGAGCAGGCGAATTTCAGTCAAGAGTTTGATATGTATCGACTGTGAGAAACGCACAGGCGGAAAATCGCGTGAGCGAAGCGTTCGTAAGTCGATGCGTATGATACTCATTTTCGTCGATCCTCCCACTTCACGATTCGCCTGTGCGTCTTCGTTCAGTCGATACATATTTCACATTGTTTCGCCTATGCGTTTTTTCGCGCAAGCGGACATCTCTGAACAGGGCCTGAGAGAAACTCCGGACAATCGATATGTATAGGATCAGATAATCACCCCCCCCCCCAATTTGCTGAAATTCGTAGCGCACTCCTCCCCTAAACAAAATCGAAAGTAGAGGGAAGAACTCATGGTAAAATACAGAAAATTTTCTGCACCTTTAAATTTAAAGCATCCATGTTGAGGCATGCATTTGCTGGTAACCGCTCAAAAACTATGCACAACAATATTAAGAAGAAAATTTTAGCTGCGAGCGCCACTTGGCTGAAGATGTCGCCCTTCGAGATCCCGCTTTTTTTCCTGTGGTACACACCGTCCTCCTCACTCGCCAGAGGCAAAGGTAAAAATGTTTGTAAAGTGATTAATAGTTGATTTGATTGGGAAAAGACGAGGTTGGTGTGGGGATCCTGCAGAGCTACTTCTGTTCAAATATGGAAAAACAATTACGAGGAAAGTACGCGTAACTCAAAGCCAGTGACCCACATGCAACATGCTAACCGTAAGTTTACGCAACAACGATTAATAACGCTTTCAACATCAGCTGATTTCAAAAAAGTATATACAAGGAAACTGCCAATAAACCGAGCACAAACCACCAAGACCAACGGTAGAACTAAATTTATTCTTTTTACAAAAACAAACCAAACGACATCTGGTAAAACAGCATGTTAAGATCAGTAACTACTCGTATTAAAACAAACAATAGGAGCAGTAAATCAATGAATAGAACAAGAAAGGAACGAAATAATATATAATACGGTATTAAAACGATAACTTTCAGCACAACAGATGCGAATTTACTTTCGTGTAAACAACAAAATAAACGTCATATTAAATCACAGAACAACAGACAATTCTAAGAATTAGGAGAGAGCTGTCTTCAACAAAGGATACAACGTAGAACCGTTCTGAATTCACAGTAAAAGAAAAACAATGTGCTAAAACGCGGCAGCAATCGCTGTTTGCAGTCATGCATCGATGATGCCAATAAAAACAGAAAAGAAACACATAAAAAGGCGATTGATGATTTTAGGCCAACTCACTTCCAGACTAAGATATCACGAACAGCTAAGAGACAGGCCAAAATCACATCAAACTAATCATTAATTAGTAGTGAAAGAATACTTCACAGATAGAAAACAGGTGGTAAGGGACAGCACGGAGGAATTTGAATTCCAGCGCATCAAAAAAGGAGGATAGTTCTAGGATTAGCATAATATTTCTTATATGTATTACCTGGTATTGGAACCAAAAAAAAATAAATCACAGAAAAAACAAAAAAAGTACATAACGCTGAAAGGATTGTGCTGTCGAGAGGTGCAGCGGTGAGATTATGAACGTTTGGCCAGAAACAATGACTAAAGTTCCACTTCGTCATCGTCTAGAATAACAAAGCAATCCTCTCCTAGCTCTTCCTCTTCCGGCACATATTTGGCCTGCTGAGCCTAAACTATAAGGAATTGAGATAGTGTCCCAAAACATGGCCTGCAACGAGAGCTTTCCGATCACCCTGCAAAAATAGTTGAGACGATAGCCATTGTAGGAAATCCTGAGAGCGATTGATGGCATTTCTTTTCTCCCCTTCTCTTTCATCCCTTTCTCAGAAGACGCTCGCTCTCGTTCCTCCCATATACACGTTCTCATTTCTGATTCGTTAACAAAATGCATGGTGAGGATTTTTAATGTACTCATAAGCGGAAAAAATCATTGATGGGCTTGACGCTCCACAACTTAACGATTAACCCGTAGTAAAACCCTTGAATCTCCTTATATTTGAGATCTTCAGCCTTAAATCTCCTTATATATCTTATCTCCATATCGCATCCGCACGACTACGATGCGACGTGCCTCTCAAGGCTCAATAACTGCCTGCTCCTATTTTTCCTCTATCCCTATGATCTAATTCTAATAAGAAGTTAAGTTTCTTCCAATATACAACACTTCTTCCCACACCATGAGAAAACCACTGGGACAGGGAAGAAGCCTCGCGTCATCACGTTCACTCTGAATACCATAGCACAACAAATACAAAACCTAATATTGAAAACCAAAGCCTTCCTACCGATGAAAACCCGTTTGATTTGTGCCCGTTGATTTGGTCCTGTCGCTGGCGTTTCAATGGCGTCGAATTTTTAGGTAAACTACCGAGCGATGTACGCTTTGTGGGCTAAAATTTAGAGCATTAGACGAAAGGATTCGTTTTCTTTCAAATCATGGAAGATGAAAAAAACTGACCGCTTTTTTTGTATCAGGACTCTTGTGAGAAGAGCCGGCACTGCGAACACCTGCGGCAATGGCAGCTCTGTATGCACGCTTTTCTTCCTGGACATTAAAAACTTAGAGAATTGACAGCTTCTGAAAGATAATGTTGACGCAGTTACCTCAACCGCAGCTAGCCGTTTCGCTCTGAGGCTGTCCCGACGTTGCCGCAGCCTACGGTTACCGACGCCATCGTTCGAATTATCCTGAAAATTCCCACTGCAGCAAATACTCACTGCTTGAAAAATCTGCTTCGTTCAGAATCATTTGGCATTTCCAACTCATTCGTACTTCATCTGACAGAGAAAAATTGAAAAAGAAAAGCTCCCTACACTTACTTCATTGTCTTCGTTTTCCTCTTCTTCGCCACTATTGTCACAACAGTCAGCGCAGTGCCACTCACAATTGACCTTGATGAAAAAAAGATCGAACGTACGATGAAATGAAATTATTGTGTTCAATATAGAAGCGAGTTGGATTTGAAAGAGATTGAAAAAAGCAACACACTTTCTTCGGGACTTTTTCAAGAGGCGGATCAAGACAACCAATGTGATAGTATTCGTAACAAGAATCACATCCCACCATCAAATGTTGATCACTTGCCTGAAAATTTTAACATTAACCAAAATATCTGGAATGAAATGTACCATTTCCGAGTAAAGGAGGAAGTAACCGATAG